TTTTTCAGTTTTCAACTTAAGTCGCCTTTTTTTTACTATACCCCCGCACCCCGCTCTCCACTCCTCTGTCCACTCCTCGGTTAACCGTCAAGGAAGGAGCCTGATACTCTAAAATCTCAAAAACCTACTTGGACAGTAGCCTGTTCCAGGGCTTCCGGGGACAAGCCCTGCAAAAGGACTTAGAGCTTCCCTTGACATTCCTCCTAGTTTCCTTGTGCAATTTGTGGACGACCCTTCTCCCCTGCAGCCCGAGGCTCCAGGACAAGCTCTGCCAATCCACAGTCTCAATGCTCTGGGTTCCTAGGGCTATCAGGTGTCCAAAAAGAAGGCACGGGTTGGTTGTGGTGATATTGTGTCCCCCAATATATTGTGCACCTTAATAAACTTATCTGGGGTCAGAGAACAGAACAGCCACTAGATAAACATAGAGGCCAGAAAATGGTGGCACACACACCTTTAATCCTAGCATTCTGGAGGCAGAGATCCATCCAGATCTCTGTGAGTTCAAAGCCACACTGGAAACAGCCAAGCATGGTGACACAGGCCTTTAATCCCAGGAAGTGATGGCAGGAAGCAGAAAGGTATATAAGGTGTGAGGACCAGGAACTAGAGCCTGGTTAAGCTTTTAGGCTTTTAGCAGCAGTTCAGCTGAGATCGATTTAGATGAGGACACAGAGGCTTCCAGTTGGAGGAAATGAGATCAGCTGAGAAGTTGGCGAGGTGAGGTCAGCTGTGGTTTGTGTTCTGTCTCTCTGATCTTTCATAGTTCACCCCAATACCTGGCTCCCAGGTTTGTTTTTATTAAGATCCTTTAAGATTCATGTTACAACGGGTCTGTACCCCGACTGTTTGCTAAGTAGGTCTGTTTCTTTCTCTCTGATAAGAGTTGTTCACGTGTACCTTACCAAGACAAAGAGAGACTCCACGGCTTTGCTGGACCTTTAAATATGGAACATCTCCTCTCCCCACAGTCTCGCCAGAGCCTCTACCCTCAGACTCCTGGATGCCTTTGGACCTTCTTTCTTTTCCTTTCCTCCAATCAAGGACAAGTGCTAGCAGTTCCTCAAAGGCAGGCGATACTTATTCTCCTGCAGGCTATTTGTTGAAGCAAATGGATATGGTCCCAAGAGGATGGACTTCATGCTTACAAGACCTGGCTGTCGCTGTGCTTCTAAGTCCAGAAGCTAACAAAATTCTGTCCCACAATCTGCTTTATACACTAAGTTTACACTCACTCAGGGATCTCTGGACTATCCTCTCTTGACCCTCATTTTAGGAGTAGATCCTCCATACCTTTCTTCTGAACCCCAACCTCTCACCTTTGAACCCTTCCCCACACCCCCTGCCCCATTACTTCCTCAGCCACTGACTCATATCTCCCCTCTCATTTCTGCTCTGAGATCCTAGATCTTATCGTGAATCCTTTTGCATACATCCTTAATTACCCCTCCCCACAGACTATGACTGGTTCATAGATGGCAGTTCCAACACTGCCCTCCCACACAGCTGTAGCATGAGTCTTAAAAGTTCTTATTAATAAAATCAAACCCGAGGCCAGTTATTGGGGGTCAATGCTGGTAGATCAGAGAGACAGAACAAGCCACAGCTATCTCACCTTGCCAATTCCTCAGCTGGTCCTGTTTCCTCAGACTGGAAGCCTCTGAGTCCTCATCCAGAAAGAATCTCAGCTGAACTGTGTTGCTCCAAAGCCTGAAAGCTTAACCAGCCAAATGCTTAACCAGCCAAATGCTTCCAGTTTCTGGTCCTCATACCTTATAAACCTTTCTGCTTTCTACCACCACTCCCTGGGATTAAAGGCTGCTTTCTGGGATTAAAGCCGTGAGTCACCATGCCTGGCTGTTTCCAATGCGGCCTTGAACTCACAGAGATCCAAAGGGATTTCTGTCTCTGGAATGCTAGGATTAAAGGCGTGTGCTAACATTTTCTAGCCTAAGTATCTTGTGGCTTTTCTGTTCTCTGACCCCAGATAAGTTTATTAAGGTACACAATATTTTGGGGAACACAGTACCACCACATTTCCTCTCTTTTTGTCTAAAATTAGAAAAAGCTTGTAACTAATACAAGAAAAACTATCTAATAAGTATATACAATATATACAGTCAAAAAGTACATTAACCATGTCTAGTCCATTAACATTTGACAGATTCAGATAAAAACTCCATTATATATATTAACAATGTCCAGTCCAGTAACATCTGATAAACTCAGACCAAAATTTTCTCATTACTTATCTTATTTAAAACAAGTAGTTCCTTTTTAAAAGTAGATTCCATAATCTCCCTTTTTATCTTATCATATCCATATTTTCTTTTTTTTTCTTTTCATAATAGATTCAGTAGTCTACCTTTTGTCATTTTATATCTTCCCTTTTTTCTTCAGTGTGGATTCAGTGATCTACCTATTTATCCTGTTATTTCTTTATCTTTTTTCTCAGAGTAGATTCGATGATCTATCTCATACCTATATTCTCTTTTTCTTTTTTCTTTCTAGGGGTGAAGATATCTTTAGGGAATCTTGAAAAGAAAATTTTTGGGTTAATTGTCAAGTCCTGTATCATTTGTCCAGTCTCTGCATAAAAGGTAAGTTCAGGGCTTGTCATAAGTCCTTGCTCGAGTAGTCTGTCAGGCAGGATCATCTCAGCTAGTCATCTCGAAATTGTCCTGACCAGTTTGTAGTTCAAAGTCGATTTTTCCATGGTGTTAATTGGCTTAATGGCTTTACCATAGTCCATGTGGAGTCATCATTGTGGAGTCCTGTCGTCTTTTTGAAGATTTCAAAGTCACTGTTAGGCATGGTCATGGTTCCCTGCAGACTTTTTTTTTTTTTTTTTTTTTTTTTGCCTCCTCTGTGGTTTGGAGTAATTACAGTCTGATAAATGTCTGTCTTTCAAAACCATGAACATTCTTCCCTAGAACAGAAAATCTTCACAGCAATTTCTCTCCCCACCATTTGTCTTGCCAAACTTTTCCAAACTGACCTTTGCCGATGCTTTCTTGTAACACAATGGTCCTGGCAACTCTTCTCTGAACCAGCAGCATCACCGCAGTCACCAACACGATGAGAAGGAGCTGGCAACGTGGAGCAGCAGCCGCTGCCTCCATGGTCCCACCACTGTTTGTGGCTCAGTCCCAGGCAGAAACTTCTCCTTAGCAAGCCTCCTAGGCCGGCCTCTAACTCGGGATCCTCCTGCCTCTGCCTCCTTCAGTAAATCCTACTGGCGTGAGCCACCACAACCGGCCGAGTGTGGCTCGGGTCTTATCAAGAATTCGTACCACTAACGTTGGGCACCAGATGTAGCATGCGTCTTAAAAGTTCTTATTAATAAAATCAAACCCGAGGCCAGTTATTGGGGTCAATGCTGGTAGGTCAGAGAGACAGAATAAGCCACAGCTATCTCACCTTGCCAGTTCCTCAGCTGGTTCTGTTTCCTCAGACTGGAAGCCTCTGAGTCCTCATCCAGAAAGAATCTCAGCTGAACTGTGTTGCTCCAAAGCCTGAAAGCTTAACCAGCCAAATGCTTAACCAGCCAAATGCTTCCAGTTTCTGGTCCTCACACCTTATAAACCTTTCTGCTTTCTACCACCACTCCCTGGGATTAAAGGCGTGAGTCACCATGCCTGGCTGTTTCCAATGCGGCCTTGAACTCACAGAGATCCAGAGGGATTTCTGTCTCTGGAATGCTAGGATTAAAGGCGTGTGCTAACATTTTCTAGCCTAAGTATCTTGTGGCTTTTCTGTTCTCTGACCCCAGATAAGTTTATTAAGGTACACAATATTTTGGGGAACACAGTACCACCACACACAGCCAAATATGCCATTATCCAAGGACACCCCACTCCCCCACCTCACACACTCTCGTCGAGGTCAAGTCCCTTCCTCCCCATACCACCTTGCCACAGGCAGAACTGACAGCAGCCCTTACAAGGGCCTCACTCTGGCCAAAGACAAACAGGTTAACATCTATACTGACTCCAAGTATGCCTATAACATTATCCACTCCAACATCCTAACCTGGAGACAGAGGGAATTCCTAACACAAAAAGGGATACCCACTGCCAATGCCACCCATATACAGAAATCTCTAATCTGTTGTGGCAAAGAGAAGCCATTACTTCCTCAACTATCATTCAACTCTTCCTGACTGAGGACTACCAACAGAGAGGTCCTGGAACCAGATGAGCATGAAGATCCTTGAGTAGCTACTTGCTTCTTCAACAAGGTTCTATCAGGTTTTGGGTTTTTTGTTGTGGGGGGGGTGGGGGCAGGTTTGAGACAGGGATCCTCTGTGTAACCCTGGCTGTCATGGAACTCACTCTGTAGGCCAGGATGGCCTCGAACTCAGAGATCCGTCTGCCTCTGCCATGCTGGAATTAAAGGTGTGTGCCACCACTGCCCAGCCAAAGATCTATACTTGTTGACTAAATAGTTTTTCAGTTGCAATTTAGTTATTTTGTAAAGAAAGGGAATGAAATGTTTTATGAGTACCAGTCATCTTATGTTACGACTTTCTTTTATCTATTTTTTTAACTTTCTTGGCGAAGGGAATTCAACCCGAGATCCTGCACAGACAAGACGCTTTTGAGAGCTCCCTACAGTAATTCATCAGCGCTCCCTAACCTTTTAACTACAAGTCCCAGAGAACAATGCGCTACTTTCCTTCTAAACTAAGGGCGGGAATTGGAACTGGCCGAATGTTAAAATGTAATTTTAGCGGGTTTTCATTTTTCGCAGAAACTCAGACGTTCCTCACAGCAAGCTCGGACACCGAACCAAGCGAGTGCCATTACTCCTCCTGGAGACAGACCAAATCCGGCTCGCGGTCGGTATTTAACTACAGCCGAACTTCCCGCTCCCACTCCATTCTCCCAGCAGTCTCCTCCCCGACGCTGCCATGGCGTCATATTAGCATAGCGCCTTCTGATTGGCCGACGGAAGGGTGACGGCGCCTGCGCGTTGCGTCTCTTTGAGGGTCGCGGGCAGACGCCATTTTGGCCCCAGAGGTGCTTCTGGGAAGTTGCGCGCGGAGCCTCACTTTGCCGGCCTGTGAGGTACGGCCCTTGCTGGTAGCTGGGGTTTCCAGGGCGAAGCGTCTTTGCCTGCCGCTGCCGACTTCTCCGGACTCTGGGACCAGGCAGAAGCGCGGCGCCGCCGAGGGAGGTCACCCCGCCAGGAAGGACGTGACGGGGGCGGCGCGTGTCGCGGACACTCCCCGCCGAGAGCCCGCCTGCCATGGACTCGGAGTACTACAGCGGTGACCAGTCAGGTGGGTCGGGACGGGTAGGACCGCGCCGCGGCTTGGCCTCGCGCCCCAGCCAGGAGGGGAGAGGCCCCGGGGGGAGAATGTCCCCTTCCTGCCGCCTCAGGTGTCCCGGCGAGGCGGGGCGGGAGCTGGAGCCCCGGAGAGGGAAGTCTTAAGGGAATGTGTCTTCCCGGTTGACGAAGGATTTTCGCTCAAGTTGTCACGGCTATCTACCAGGGGAGAGGTCTGTCCTTTTAAGGGGATTGTCAGGAGTTGAGTTTTTCCAGGATCCTAAGAAACTGCTCGATGGGGGACGGGGATCCTTCCTAGACTCTTTACCAGTTAGGGCTAGTTTAATTTCTCCCGTAATACTGGCTTCCCGGGAAGAAAGCGCAGGTTCTTTAGGTTTACATACGCCTTTTAAAGCAGAGGGCGAGTCCCTGGTACTTAGAGTGACATTCGTGCCTTCTACACTTAAATCGGCTCCACTTTTATGCTAGGATACATTAGGTGTAAAGATGAGCAAGGGCAGGGCCTGCCTGGGTAAAACAGCTGTGTGCTGATTTCTTTTGGACTTTCTGTATGGAAAGTACTGCAATAAATCGTTAAGAATTAAGCTGTTTTCTAGCCGGGCGGTGGTGGCGCACGCCTTTAATCCCAGCACTCTAATCCCAGGCAGAGGCAGGTGGATCTCTGTGAGTTGGAGGCCAGCCTGGACTACAGAGCAAGATCCAGGAAAAGGCGCAAAGCTACACAGAGAAACCCTGTCTCAAAAAATCAAAAAAAAAAGAATTAAGCTGTTTTCTGTTTTGACTTTAATTGCTAATGACCTAACAGTGATGACAACAGACTCTGTCGTCCTGGACCTCCACTGCTGTTTTGCTTAAAACATTTTTTCACGTTTTCAAAATATTTTTCAGTTCATTGGCATTTTAAAATGAAGTTTAAAAAATTCAGTGTAATATGGTTCGTACGTACGTAGGTTGTGTTAGAAGAGAAACTGAGGTAGCACAAAGACAGCAGTTCCCTAATACACCATTCTTTCAGTTGTTGTTGGTTTTGTTTTTGTTTTTTTTTGTTTTTGTTTTTTTGAGACAGTCTCACTCTGTAGCCCTGGCTGGCCTGAAACTCACTTTGTAGACTAGACTGGCCTGGAATCCTCAGAGATCAGAGATCAGCCTGTCTCCACCTCCCTAATGCTAGGATTAAAGGTGTGTTTTTAGCTATTTTTTTATTATTATTATTATTATTTTTCATGTCTGGCTTTTTGTTTGTTTGTTTTTCAAGACAGGTTTTCTCTGTGCAGCCTTGGCTGTCTTGGAATTTGCTCTGTAGGCCAGACTGGCCTCAAAATCACAGAGATCCTCCTGCCTCTGTCTCCACCTCCTCAGCACTGGGATTAGAGGCCTGTGCCATGCCCAGCTATAAACTTTACCCTTTAGGTGAATAGAATATCTCATCAGTATGAAAGTCATCCATTTTTATACTACAGTTTTGACTTTCTTGTAGTTGACTGTTTCATTTAATTTTTATTTATTTGTTTATTTTTTATTTATTTATTTTTTTTTTTTTTGGTTTTTCGAGACAGGGTTTCTCTGTGTAGCTTTGCGCCTCTCCTGGAACTCACTTGGTAGCCCAGGCTGGCCTCGAACTCACAGAGATTCGCCTGGCTCTGCCTCCCAAGTGCTGGGATTAAAGGCGTGCGCCACCACCGCCCGGCCTGTTTACTTATTTCTTAAACTGCTAATCAAGTCATGTCTTTCAGTATCCCTAAATACCTCTCGGATACTTTTACTTTGTATTTTTAAGGTGTTGGTTAAGGTTAGGTGACAGTTCATATTTACTATTTATTCTATAAAATTATAGTTTATAATTAATTGAATTTTCAGTATTTCTGGGCTAAAGTTCCTTGTGCTCTCCATTTATAAATAAGCACTTCCTGTATACCATATAACAGACAGTATTCTGGCCTCCAGAGATTCAGTTATGAATCAAAAAAAGTCCATAGTAAACAAAATAACTTGTTAAGTCATATAGTGCATTAGAGCATGCTCAGTGCCCGGGAAAAATAGACAATAAGAAATTGAAACTATTATTTAGATGATTTTGACTTGGCATTTAGTGGTTTTTCTAGGCTTCGCCTTTATGAAATATTTTCATTTCTCTATGTGCCGCATTACATGGTATTAGTTGTTGATATTTATGTGAGTATTCTGTTGTTTTCTTCAGAACATTTGCTTCAGTAGCTATGCTTCTTCAATAGTAGTACCTTTTGGCTTTTATATTAGGTGTGCTCATCTTAACTGTGGATGTTCATTTTAACTGTAATCATAAACATTATTGCAGATATCATCTATCTTACACCCTAAGTGGGGTTTTGTTTTGTTTTTAAGCAGATGATGGTGGTGCTACCCCAGTACAGGACGAGCGGGATTCAGGATCAGATGATGAGGATGATGTAAATGAGCAGCACTCTGGATCTGACATTGGAAGTATAGACCGGCATTCAGAGGTACAGTGTCTTTGGGGAGGCTTTTCCTTACATTTCTATGGCACCTATTTTATTTGGGAGTTTTAGAGATTGCCTCAGCCTTTAGGCTTTCATCCCTGAACGTAAAGGGTATAAATTAATAGAAGATTATTTTCAAATGAATAGGGATAATCTGGTCACTGATAATCACGGGAAAAAGTTGTGGTGGGTCAGATTTTAAATACTAGGCAGTTTTTTTCAGCTATGCCTGTTTATTCAGAGTATGATCTATTAGTAGGCTTCACCATCCCTAAATAATATCTGGCAAGGGCAGTAAGCATTTGCAGTCAACAATACCACTTGAAATAGTCAGGGGAGATAAAATTTATTAAAGTTTGTGTCAGGAATTAGACTTGTTTGATCTTTGGCAAGGTCTAGGGCTATAACTCAAATGTACTGTTTTGCTGTGTTTGTTTTATTTTGTTATTGTGTTGCTTGAGATTAAACCCAGAGCTTTGCATCTGCTAGGAAAGTTAAACACTACCACTGAGTTAGCTTTTTATTTTTCATTGTATTTATTTAGGGGTGAGGGCTGGGCGTGCCATGGTGTGGAGGTCTGAGGACAACTTGCAGGAATTAGTTCTCTCCTTCCACCAAGTGGAATCTAAGGGTTGAATTTAGGTTGTGGCAAATGAATGCCTTTACCCTTGGAGCCATCTCATACCAGCCCTATTTTTACTTTTAAGGCAGAATCTTACTAAATTGCCTGGCTAGAACCTTGAATTCTCTTTATGTAACCCAAGCTGGTTGTGAACTTTTTGATTTTTCTGCTTTAGCAGCCTTCCATGTAGCTGGGATTACAGGCATGTACAACTGTACTTAGGGCAAAAGTAGTTTTAAAAGCTGTTTTAGTTTAGTGACCAAATAGTGGTGAATTTTGTATACATTTTAACATTTGTCCTAAATATTTTTGAAACTACTTAATATACCTTTCTAGTCATATAGCCTCTCTTAGTATTAACAACATAAAATTGTACCTTTCCAATAAATCAGTATAAGTCTTCAGTAGATGTACACTAAAAGAAATAGGAAAGATAAAGGTGGGTGTATTTTCTAAGAATTTTATGACTGACATTTGTTACATAAGCATAGAAAATGGTCTAATTTTACGTAGTAGATATGTCTTAGAAATTGGCCGGGTGGTGGTGGCGCAGCCAGGTGGTGGTGGCGCACGCCTTTAATCCCAGCACTCGGGAGGCAGAGGCAGGTGGATCTCTGTGAGTTCAAGGCCAGCCTGGTCTACAAAGTGAGTTCCAGGAAAGGCGCAGAACTACACAGAGAAACGCTGTCTTGATAAATCAAAAAAAAAAAAAAAAAAAAAGAAATTGTGTTGACTCTCATTACAGTCATGTCATTTTTCAGTTTATACATTAACATCATTCATGTATACATTGAACTTAATTTGTTGAGCACTTGCTGTGTGTCATACGTTTTTTAAAGGTGCTTTGGATATACACGTGACTAAAAGTCAAAATTCCATTATTGGGCTTATGTTCCAGTAGAAAGAGACATTAAACTATATATGTGTATGTATATATGAATATAATGTGTATATATACATAAATTGTATAATTTGTTAGAAAGTGACAAATAGAACAGAATTAGAGCAATGTAGGGTACAAAAATTGGAGGTAGTCTTCCATGTTGAGTAGGTCCATGTAGGCCTTATTACAAAGGAGATCTATTTTAAGGGAATGGTTGGGGAAGGAGGCCAAGGAAATAGCCAGGTAGGCGTGTGTCTCTAAGGGAAGAACATTCCTGCCATTGCCTCCAGTGATAGTATGTTTAAAGTCCTCAAGGGACACCAAGAGCAAGTGTAGGGATTGTACTCTCTAAGGGGCATGGAAGGTCAGAGAGCAAATTAAGTTAAGTTCTATTTTAAATTAATGACAGGTAAGAATTATTAATAGTGTAGGACCTGAGAAGATGACTCAGTGGTTAAAAGAACCTGCTGCTCTTCTAAAAGGACCCAAGTTCAGGTGGCAGTACCCTTGTCAGGTGTGCCTCTAGCTTCAAGGAATCTGGGATCCTTTCTGACCTTTACAGGCATGTGTGCACGCGCACCTACACACACACACACACACACACACACATACACACACACACACACACACACACACACAATAAAAGTAAGATTTCTTTATATTTTATTTTATGTGTATGGGTGTTTTGCCTCTGTGTATGTCCATGCACCACATGTATGCTTGGTGCCTTCAGAGGCCAGAAGGGGTCTGGAACTGGAGTTACAGACAGTTCTGAACAGCCAATTGGGTGTTGGGAATTGAACCTGTGTCCTCTGGATAAGCAACTTATGCTCTTAACCACTGAGCCATCTCTCCAGCCCCTAAAAGTAAAATTTTTAACAGGTTTTGTTTTGCTTGAGACAGGATTTCTCTGTGTAACAGCCCTGGTTGTCCGGAACTTGCTTTGTAGACCAGGGTGGCCTTGAACTCACAGAGTTCCACCCGCCTCTGCCTCCCAAGTGCTGGGGTTAAAGGTTTGTGCCACCACTCTTGGCAAGAATTATTGACAGTGGGGCTGGAAAGATGGCTCAGGGGTTAAGAGCACTGACTGTTCTTCCAGAGGTCCTGAGTTCAATTCCCAGCAACCACATGGTGGCTCACAGCCATCTATAATGGGATCTGGTGCCCTCTTCTGCCCTGCAGGGATACATGCAGGCAGAACACTGTATATGTAATAAATACATCTTAAAAAAAAAAAGAATTATTGACAGTGTAAATCTTTGCAGTACATTTAACATGTGGCTTTTTTTCCATCTTATTTTGTGTGTGTGTGTGTGTGTGTGTGTGTGTGTGTGTGTGTGTGTGTGTGTGGTTTGCCTGCATGTATGTCTGTATACTGAGTGTGTGCCTGCCTGCTGCCTGAAGAGTCTGGAAGAGAGTATTAGATCCTAGGACTAGAGGTACAGACACCATGTGGGTGCTAGGAATTGAACCCAGGTCCTCTGAAAGAACAGCCAGTGTTGGCTGCTGAACCATCTATTGTGGCGTTTTAAGTTTCTACCTTGGGACAGTATTAACTGTGTCAGCTTAGAACCTGTTAAGGTAGCTATTCTCAACCTCATACTTAGTGGTAAACAGTGACAACTGCTTATCTGTACTACTACATATTCTAAATAAGTAAATGTACATGTGGAAAACTTGGAAATTAAATCATTTTATAGAAGAAATTAAGATCAACATGCTACTGTCTCAGAAGTGACCTGTAGAGATTATTTCTCCTACATATTAGCCCCCTTCCTGTGCATATAAGTTACTTAAGTACTTTTAAGTTACTTAAGATATTATGTATATTTTGTGTCTGTATATTATCTCTTTGCTTAAGATAGCTTATTAAGTATTTCTCTATGTCATTAAGAAAATCTCACTGAGTGTAGTTTTAATGATTTCATAATATGGATATAACAGTACAGTCATCCCTTTGTCCATGGAAATTGATTCCAGGACTCTTTCCCTCATCCCTGCCATTAAGGATGCTCACATTGCTTATTATATAAATGACACAAGTGATGGGGGATAGCTTAGTGGTGGTGTGTGTTCTTGCCATTCGTGAAACCTTGGGCTGGAGTTTCAGCACCAAAAAGTAACATTTAAAATAGCAAGCCAGGCATGGTGGGTCATGCCTGAAATTCTAGCTTTGGAAAAGAGGAGGATTGCTGTAAGTTTGAAGGTTAGCCTGGGCCACTAGTCAATTCCCCATCTCAAAAATAATTCTTTTTAAGGTATAGTTTTTGTGTAATAGGCACTTTGTTCTCTACGGTTTCATTCGTTGCTAGACTACTTTCCGTACCTATACAGTTGGAATGCTATGTTCGGGAAATAATGACAAATAAAGGCCCATTCTGGACCTAGCTACATAGTACATATCCACAAGGTACTGTTAGTTTCTTCACGTTTGCAGTGTGTACTCTGGTTTGTTGAGTACTTATTCGGTGATCCTCTAACTGTTGGCATGTAGAGGGTCAAAGCTCCTTTTTTCCTTCACCACACCAGGCCACTGAACTTCCTTGTTGTCCCTTGTTTATACTGTTTTGAACAATACATTGTGGCATGTATTGCTTTCTAAATAATCCCACCAAATTCTGGCTCTTTGGAATGATAGTTTCTAAGAACAGTGTGATCCCAGAATGACTATTCCTAGCTGTCCCTTTTTGTTATTATTTATGTGTGTTTTGCCTGCATGTGTGCCTGAGCACCAGATGCATTCCTGATACCTGCAGAGCCAGAGAGTGTATCGAATCCCTTGGAATTGGAGTTTTGAGGCAGTCAAACCCAGGTTCTCTGGTAGAGCACCGGGTCTCTTATCTGCTGAGCCATCGCTTTAGCCCCTCTTCCTGGCTCTAGTCCCTGGTGCAGCCCTACAAACTAACTGGCCTACGTGTAGCTAGTGTAGCCTCTGTCTGAATCCCTTCCCAAGTGCCTTCTGCCACAATTTCCTCAAGTCTGGTTATATATGAAGGCCATTTCTTTGGGAGTGATCTGGAGTGATTTAGTTTAAGCCTGTGTTTTCTCTAGGACTCTGAAACTAGTGGTGGGAAAATGGTGAATTTTCCCTGGCTGACACCACAGCTTTGGAAGCTGAGCTCTCAGCAAGAGGCAGGGATGAAGTAGCTCACTGTCATATTCCTACAAGCTGGGGAAGAGCGACAAGAGCCCTTGTATTTTCTAAATGTTGTGCCAAAGGTATGGCCTTTGATTAATGATGAGACAGAAGATAGGACTCCTGATCTGGAATGCATTCACCCAGGATTTAGCCTCCACAAAGTCTTAAGGCAGGATATCTTGCTTCCTCTAGAAAGAAAGCTGTCCCACTGAGGATGGGGGTAGGAGGGCCTGACTATGTAATTGGATGGTCTAGAATAGAATCTCTACGTTAGAATCATAAGCTTTGAGATTGGAAAGAAAGTAGTCTTGGTTCAGGTATTGCAGACTCTGGCCTCTTGCTGAATTTAGGAGTTTCAT